TGTTACAGTCCTTACACTGAATGTTGTAGATGACTCCTGTTTTTTCTTCTTGGGCTACTGGTAGAGATTAACACCAAGATTATCACCAGACATACAATCAAGTGGTAAACAGTACCCTAATCAAGGAATACCAACACAGGCAGGGCATGCCACTATATATAAACAAAGAGCAAACTCCACTCCATTCTAGCACTGAAGATGTTACCTAGCTGGGTAATGAAATGTCTGCAAGAAAACAACCAAGCTCAGAGAACTCCAAGGACTCCACAGATGCTGCTTGTATTTCACCAAAAGATAGATGATAATTGTTAAGGCAACTTTTTTTTTATATCTCAGAACTTTGAAAATAATGCATTCTGATTGCGAATTTGGTAGATGTATTGCAATGAAAATCTCTAGATATTATTTAAACAGTCTAGAGACTTGATCTACAGATCCTACAGCCAATAAATAGCCTACTAGTAGCTGAATCTTGAATTTTCCACCAGTAATATCTGTTCTTTTGCTCCCCAAAGCGATGTCGGACTGTACATCCAGTATACAGTTGCTGTGTGACCATGGAGCCTTGGTGAACGCCAGAGATGCCGTGAGTCCTTTCAGAGTCTTCTTCCAAGATTGGTCAAGTTCCTTGTTCGTTTTCTTCTTTTTTAATAGTCACTTCATTAAAGATTACATCAATAAAAACTAACACAAACTAAAAAAATGAAAGAATAAAAAAATAGAAGGCGCAGAAAAGGAAAAAAAGAGAAAAAATAGAAAGAGAAAAGAAAGGAAAGGAAAGGAAAAATAAGACTATAGCAAAGAAAAAGAGACCCTCTTTTAAGCATTAGACTGGCCGAGTCTTAGCTCAGGCTGACCTGCTTCTTATTGTCACAGAGGTCCTCTGGGCTTCAGGAGCTGGGGAAGCACAAAAAGCAAAGCCCTCACTTCCACCACAGGGAACCATGTTTGCTGCTAAATTTATTACTATGAAGCAAGTTTATACACCACCCATCTCACTATATAAGTGATTCTAGGTGGCTTACAAGTAAAAAACAATAAAAAATGATAAAAGTCTTTACAAAAATATACACAGTTAAAAGATGGAGAGAGGATCCTCAAGCCACCAACCGCCCTCAGTGCTGCGAGCCCCCACTGGATCCCCATGCTAGTTCACAGAGCCAGGTCTTAATGCTCTTCTGGTAGGCCAGAAGAGTGGGGACCAATCTCACCTCAAGGAGCAAGATGTTCTAGAGCAGGGGGGACAGCAGAAAAGGCTCTCCTCCTAGATCCCACCAGTCAAAATTCTTTAGCTGACAGGGTCTGTAACACGCCCTTCCTCCTGGACTGGGTGGGATGGGCCGATGTAACCGGGATGAGACGGCTCCTCAGGTAACCTGGGCCTATGCCAAGAAGGGCTTTAAAGGTCATAACCAACACCTTGAATTGGACCCGGAAGCAAACTGGCATCCAATGCAGCTCACGCAACAGCGGTGTTATACGTGCAGCCCTAGAGGCCCCCATAACTGCCCACGCTGCCACATTCTGCACCAGCTGCAGCTTCTGGATACTTTTCAAGGATAGCCGCATTTAGAGTGCATTGCAATAGTCCATACAGGAGATGACCAGGGCATGAGTGACCGGGAGAAGGGCTTCCTAATCCAGGAACGGGCGCAACTGGCACACAACACGGTGTTGAGCAAAGGCCCTCCTAAGCCATGACTGCCATCTGCTCCTTGAGCAGGAGTTGTAAGTCCAGGAGGACCCCCAGATTACCCCATCATCACAACAGGTATAAACAATTTTAGTAACTCATCACCTTTTCTTAAAATAACAACAAATGATCTCTTCTGCTCGTATCCCATCTCTTATCTATAAACAAATCTATAAAGCCTCATTAGTTCAGTCCTGATGTCAGCAAAAGCCCATTAAGGGTTACCAGAGATAACAACATGTCTATTTTGATCAAGTAAACCAACTTTATATTCCTTGCTTTTACTTCTAACAATCTTGATCTTTAGTCCTTTCAAACACTGTCATAGAACTTAATTTCTTTTCATTTTTTTCTTTGTCCCTTCTCACAAAATTCTTCAAAGCTTTAACAAGCTTCTTTTGTAAATCCAATATAGGAAAATTATCCAGGTCATGCTCTTGGTTTATTATTTGTATATCCCTTTTAATTATTAAGACATCAGCTGTTTTTTTTTTTTTTTGGTATGTCCAGTGTAACACCTTTTTCCATGTCATTGTTGTAGCCTGTTACTTTTAAATTCACTTTCAGATCAGTCTCAGTCTTGTCAGGTAAAACATGCTCCTCTTCCATAACATCTTTTAAACACAATCTATCTATAGAGGCAGATACTCTTAAAATTAACTTCTGGGTCCATAGTTCAAAAATATCCTTCAGTATGTCCAACGTTAAAATACTTTACATCATTCTGTAATTGTAAGTCAAGTTTAAGTGTCTTTCTCCTTTAATTACAATCTTTAGTTCCCTCTAGTGTCCAATTTTTAAAGTCTTTTTTTTTTAAAGAAATTCAAAACAAAAACATTTTCCCATGGGAAGGATTCTTTATAATTAATTCCCAAATCTTATTACAAATTAATCTGGACCCCTAATCCCTTTGTAACTTTCTAAAATCAAAGTTTTAATAACCATTATATATATATATA